TTTTTTTTTTTCTCTCTCTCTCTCCGTACTCTTTTTGAGATTGGCCTTTTCGAGGCTTGTGCGTGACCCTGCAACCGAAAGCCCTCCAGGTAGTTCCTCTCTTCTTCATTTCCTCCCTTCCTTTCTTTCCTCCCCCAGAACTTGGGTTCCAGTCAAACCATACCGGAAAGAAATACAGACCTGTTCAAATAAACCCGTTCCTTCCTGATACCCTTCATGTTGTTTACTAACATTTCCCTTGCTTTGCGTTCTCGTCCTTACTTTTCCTTTGCCTTGTCCGTCGAACCGCAACCACATCGTCTCTCCAGTATCCCTTTTTGATGGTCGGTAGACCCGCATTGACCATCACTTCACTCACCCATGAACATCATACAATCATTCATTTGCCAACATTTCGACACGAGCCGCAGCAGCAACACCCAGCGTGGAGTTTCCGAGATCTAGTCTACCATCAACCATGTCATCGCCTCCGGATCTGCCCCCTCCCAAGGCTCAAGACACGGAGCCGGGTGTGTTATCTCCCACGCCTTCGGCATCTCAGCCTCGACATGATGGCCCCAAACGCCTGGTCGACATGTATATAAAGCCGCGGAAAACCATTGTCAACAAACTGATGTTTACCCCTCCATTTGACGCCGTGGAGATCGGCAGGACAGTTCAATTCGGGTGTTACCCAAAGCGTGAGCTGAAGGAGTAGGACTACAGCCACCAAAACGGCCCCACCATCCTCATGCTTTTCGACATCCCCTATTACCTCTTTCCTACACACTTCTTGTGCGACCTCGGGCTCCGCGTCGACGGCGATGATGAACCTTACTCCTTGGCCCACACATCGGAAACCGTGAATTATGCGTATAACACCAAGGGAAAAAGGAGGGAAAATTGCTTGGGGAAAGTTGAGTCCATTGAGCAACATACGGGGCCACCAGGAACGAAGAGGCTGGCAGCGGTTTGGACGAAGAAGATGCTGGAACAACCGGGTTCCGCAAACATGGGCGGGGAGCCTGGGCTCCAACATTTCTTCCAAGTCGACTTATGGTATAGAGGACAACAAGGGTGTGGATTGTTCCTGCAGGTCTGCGGTAAAATGTTCACGCTTACTGCACTTGGCGCCAGACCAGGTTTGGAGGACGGAGGCCGAAACTCGCCCATCCTAACAACAAACCGCGCTCTCGACATGGGTAAGCCTACCTCTACGCATTTTGCTCAACATATATCCTTTGGCGGCTGAGTCGAGAATTGACAAAGGCCTTGTTCGTTCCGGGAGTAGTGCAGTGGCAGAAGCGCGTTGGGCCAAGGAATGAAAGAGCTTCTGACACTGTACTACGAGCCAGAGCGAACACGGCCAGAGTCCGTTCTACCTTCCAAGCAACATAGGTTTTTCTTTCGTTGTCCTTGAAGAAATAATACTTCATTGGAACATGCTGACACTGCTCAACGCCGTATTTAGTTCGCAGTCCGGATGCCATGCATTGGTACATCTTTGCCAATAGCAACGTGGTATGGGACATAATGACCAAACCAGTATCGAATCGGGAATATCACACCTCAGGAAGCGAGGTCATGCCCTTTGGTCCCGCCAACTCAGCCGCTCTCACTTCCGATTACCAGAAACCCCTTATTCCCCGATACGCCACGGCCGTCACCGAATTGCCCCCGGATCCCACCAATGATCCCTACGCCAGGGTGTGGAGGAAGTCTGCTGTCCTCGAAGAGGTTGAGCCCTGGAAAGACAAAGTAGCACAAACAGCTGAGAATGTGGATCCCGACGAGATTCCTCTCTCTCCTCCATCAGTCTACCTGAAAAGTCCTTCTTCTTCGAGGAGGTCCTCGACAGGGGAAGTTCATGCATCCAATGGTCAACCTTTGAGAGAGAACAAAGATATTAAACAGCTGTCTCAAATCACAGTGGAGGAGAAGGATCTGGACACTGAGGATGTGGAAACTCAGAGCCAATCTGGGGATGAGGTTATGCACATAGATGCCGACAATGCCTCGGATAGTGGCGGATCACCCATGGACCTTGATGAAGAGGTGTCCTAGTCCCCCACGAGCCCTGAAGAATACGGTGGTGTCTGGTGGCTCATGAAATTGGTTCGTGAAAGGGGGGGATATGTGCGTTTGTTGGAGTTGATGCTTGCAGAGACTGATGGGTGGTGAATGTTGGAAGAAGCGAACATGCCGGTATTCATGATTTCCAGCGAGATTTTTTTTCTTGTTGTCCTGTTGTATTGACCTGGGACGGCCACATTGCTTGCCATCAAACAAACCTTACGAGCAATAGATACTGCTCACATTAAAACGCTTGACTTTGGGGCTTTGGAAACGCAGAATGCCAGGAAGAAAACAAAGGAGAAACAACAGCGAATCCCGAGGCGGACATAATATAGACTTGAATACCTACTTTTCGGACAGTCATTACCAAAGACTCTTACCAAAAGATCAGATTCCACACAAGAAGTAAACCAATCGTTGCCGTCCAACAACGTTCCCCTACCTACTTTTCCACGCCGCCAGATATCTTCTCGCTCTGTTTGAAGATGGAATAACAATGACAAGCCAGGCCAACGGATGAAGAAGGGAAGCATCCGGGCCGAGTGATCAAAGAAACCAAACACACAAAGGTCCGTACAAACCAACTTGAAGATACTCACACACACACATTCAATTATTGCCAGAGCACGGACTCCAGAGAACCTTACAAGTTCAGTGATTGCCGCTCGCGGATTGTGTATTATATCGCAAACCGCCAGATGTATAGGCACCAATTATTCACCCAGCCAAAACGGGGTGATCTCGAAAAACATGGCAGTTGTCACAAAAATTGTTTGTTCATAGACTAGAGCAAGGACAGGAGATATTCGGGTTAAAAAAAGCGAATATAGGAGCAAGCGTGCTTACCCAGTGAAGTGGTCTCTTGCATGCGCGCAGGCACCCGGGAAAAAGAAGGGATAAGAGGGGAAAAAAAGAAACA